GAAAACAACAAAAAGATTTATTAATAGAGCATACGACACATTCCCGAGAGTAAAATATACATTGTTGAACTACACGTAAAGAAAGAATATAGTGAGTCTGACAAATAAGGTTAGATACAAAATAAACAAAATATAAATACTACAATCAAAGAAGTGTATGGATTTTTTTTTATTTGTTTCATATACACTTACAAAATATTCTAGTTCTATTTCTGGATTTATTTAACTCAAATAGAAAAAGTGCGATCACTTCGAGAAGTTCTAACAAAAGTTTTATTAAAAACGGAATGGTGATTTTGCATAAAGTTAAGTTAAAGGAACGTAGCCACAGTTTCATTGTAATATAATTGAAAATGATACTCGTACCAATGGATATAATACGAACAAAGTNGGTAACTTTTAGACTTATTTTCTGGCCCAATTTCCTTGAAAACAGCTTCTAGTGATATGCAACAAAAGCACATTTTCCGTATAAAATATACCAGGCGTTTAAGATTCAATTCAATAAAATTGAAAAATATGGAATAAAATCGACTGTTAAGAATTTTTTAGATACATCTTTCAGAAATTTCTGATTCGAAAGAACAGGGAGTTATTGAGAAACATGGCACACAGCAAAACTGGCTACGAATATTCTGTAACAGCTACAATAAAAAAAATGCACTATTATGTAGTAACTTTCCAAGTTGGAGTTAACTTTTGTTTGAATATCTAATAATGCAGAAACTTTGGGGGTACGATTTCTCCACAACAAACTTCATTTGGCTCTTACTAACTCTAGTTTTCCTTAACGTTTATCTTTCGTCAATAAACATCTATCGAAAATTGCACTCAGATATAAAATTGCGACAATTTTTGGGGTAGAAGCAAATACAGGTTGCCAAAAGTTCATATTAAAAACGAGTCATTAAATATTATGACTCAAGTCTCGATCTTGATTAATGGGGGTAATATTTACTGTTAAAATAATAAATTGGCGAATTCTTGTAGTACATTCGTAGCAGTTTACTTTGTTAATTAAAACAGATTTCCTGGTAAGAAAAATTGCTTACACAGCACTGTGACCGTCGCGGTCTTATGGCCCAAGTTAAACAAAGTCCACAAGTATTTCCTTACCATATTCCTCATCGAGATGGGACAAAAAGCCCCAATCTAACTTCAATGAATAAAGGTTATTGTGAGGGGAACTCCAAACTTTCTACTCAACGAGGGATGATTTAATAAAAGTGATACTTACTTTTTCCTTAATTAAGAAAATTTGTTATATTGTGATTTATACGCCCCCACGATATCTACAAGGAAATAAATAAGGGCTCTGTACAGGTAACGAAAAATGGAATTTAGTAAATGAACAATGCGATCGGACATGCTCAAGTGAAATTATTAATGTTCGCGCTTTTGCCTCGCAATTTTTTCCTTCATTATTTCGCTTCCTCTTTGTCACGGCCTAATAAGATATAGCACATGTCTTTTGGAAGGAAGTGACGTTTTAAACAGTGAAGGAATGTTACAGATCGGTTCACTAGTTTCCAAGATTAAAGGATTTGCCCTTTTTCTCGGCCAACATGGTCACCGTTTTGTTTCATTAGCCGGGACTTCGAACGTTGGACCGTGCTTGGATCAAGTGTTAATACGGAGGTTAAACAAAAAAATATATAAATTTCCATGCATCAGTATATGTATAAGGTGCATTCCATAGTGACTTTTTAAAAATTAGACAACAAAAAGCTTCGCATGTAATTGCCAATAGATGGCCTCGCCAGAAATCCCTATTTTTGAATAGTCCTGTTTACTTTCGAACGCACTCCGTATATTTACAATATCTAAAGTATATTTCTCTAAGAAGTATGGAACCTACATTTTATTTATAATAAGAAAACATTAAATAATGCACGTACTATAAAGCAATCCGTATTACTACGTTGCAATATTTCTACCAAGAATGAATGTCCTTTACGTATTTATATTTTTTCAAGGTGGCACGATATGATGTGTCTAAATGAATGGAAAACAACAAAAAGATTTATTAATAGAGCATACGACACATTCCCGAGAGTAAAATATACATTGTTGAACTACACGTAAAGAAAGAATATAGTGAGTCTGACAAATAAGGTTAGATACAAAATAAACAAAATATAAATACTACAATCAAAGAAGTGTATGGATTTTTTTTTATTTGTTTCATATACACTTACAAAATATTCTAGTTCTATTTCTGGATTTATTTAACTCAAATAGAAAAAGTGCGATCACTTCGAGAAGTTCTAACAAAAGTTTTATTAAAAACGGAATGGTGATTTTGCATAAAGTTAAGTTAAAGGAACGTAGCCACAGTTTCATTGTAATATAATTGAAAATGATACTCGTACCAATGGATATAATACGAACAAAGTTTCTCCTTAACTGAGATACTGGTTTTTTTAAATTTAATTTTAGTTGACCAAAAAAAATAATAAATATGTACCTAATATTCGACATACTTGTTTCTGGACGGGTTGTAAAATACTAATAGGCCGTCCCCTCCTTCAGATAATTTATTCCGTGTTGGTGACACGTATCAAAGTAGAAAATTTAGGTAAAATAAAGTTACCAGGAATTTCTGCACATTTCCCAAGGGAAAGCCATCGACGTACTTTCATTGTTCACGAAATGTTAAAAAAATTAATTGTGCTTCATTTAAAAAACACGCGATAATGTCCGGTACCTTTAACACTTAGTTCCAATTAAATAATTCCACTTTAATAGAAACACAAAGTGCGCTGGTGAATTTACATGGATTTGATCTTATTTTAGCATCTAGTCGGCGGGAAAGGCGCACGCTGTTTGGACTGGTGAGATAAAGGTAGATTAGATAAATATATATTTTGTAAGCCATGTAGACCAGGGTCGATAATTTTTGAAACCAAAAAAAATTATAGTAGGATGAAACCCATTGGAAGAGAAAGAGAATATAACAGAAATGAAAGGAAAAATAATTTACGGGCGATCTGAGGTCGGGAAGGGGTAGGGGGTAAGTATTTAAGGGTAAAAACGGTTTCCCTTGATTTCCAGAAAAACTACAAGTCTTATGGAAAAAAGTTAAATGACAAAGTTGTAGGTAATAAAAAAATCTACAACTTTTGTATTTACACTTTTTTCACATAACCTCAAAATTTATGTGAAAAATTCAAATAACCAAGTTTTTGGTTTTTTATTTTTCTTTTACAAAAAAAAAAATTTCACGAAATTTGGTGAAAACTTACCTATTTATGTCCCAAACACGCTGTAATATTTTTGAATTTAAATATTTATTTTTTCACCTTATTTTTACTTAATTCAAAAAAGCACCCTAATTTTCAATCGAAAATTCTCACGTCAAAATATCTGCTTTTTTCGAAATGTCGGTGGGCTTTTTCTTCGTTGAAATCTCTACTTTCTGATAGTGAAAAAAAAAAATACATTACTATGGTAAGTTTTCTCAGGAAATGCAAAGAAAGAAAGAAGATTCTACAACTTTCTCAAAATATTGTAGATGTCTTATTAAATATTAACTTTATTAACTTATTTGATTGTTAATTATAATAGTATATTTCGACTTGTAATTTTTTTGTTTATCAATGTAACATGGAATCTTACGATTTTCGAGTAATTAAAGTGTAAATTTTAATAAATAGCTCAAAATTGTACATAATGATTAGAAAAAAATTTTCGGATTCTAGTTCGTTTCTTTGCATTTCCTGAGAAAACTTACCATAGTAATGTATATATTTTTTTACACCATCAGGAAGTAGAGATTTCAACGAAGAAAAAGCCCACCGACGTTTTTAAAAAAGCAGATATTTTGACGTGAGAATTTTCGATTGAAAATTAAGGTGCTTTTTCGATATTAATTAAAAATAAGGTTAAAAAATAAATATTTCAAATCAAAAAAATTACAGTGTGTGTGGGACATAAATAGGTAAGTTTTCACCAAATTTCGTGAAAACAAAAATTGTTTGTAAAAGATAAATATAAAAAACCAAAAACTTGGTTATTTGAATTTTTCACATAAATTTTGAGGTTAAAAGTGTAAATACAAAAGTTGTAGATCTTTTTATTGCCTACAACTTTGCCATTTAACTTTTTTCCATAAGACTTGTAGTTTTTCCGGAAATCAAGATAAACCGTTTTTTACCCTTAAAAACTCACCCCTTCCCCTTCCCGACCTCAGATCGCCCTTAAATTATTTTTCTTTTCATTTCTGTTATATTCTCTTCCTTTTCCAATGGGTTTAATCCTACTATAATTTTTTTTCACTTTTTACCATTTTTGAAGGCTTAAGCACTGGTCTAATGGTAAAATGTTACTTTTGCAAGATTAAGGACAGAAAAATATTGTTAGGTTGTAGGATTGGGACCAGGCCTGAATTTTTGTTACAATATAACTACTACACTGTAAAAAAATCGGTGTGAGTGCAAGCAATAAAGGTTGGAAGTGAATCTATTGAGTGAAATTATTGAGTACATTTTCAATCAATATTGGGCATTTTGATCATTTTACTCATTGGTGATTATATTTAAACTCCTTAAATAAATTCTTAAACTCCTATTTGATGCACTTGTACCTAAATCAGAGTAAATGTCCTCATTACTGAATGATCCCACCCTTTTTCATACCCAGATGCATTGCCTCTGCCTGTTCCCATCGTCCCATTAGGTTATCTCGTGACTGTGGCGTGGTGGATGGCAGTATGGCGTATGGTGTGCTTTGGAGTTGGACAAATATCGGTATATCTGGTTATTCTAGTGATAATTGTATTGTATTTCATTATTTCAGATAAATCTTTTGAAGAGAACCTTTAAAAAAATGGTAAACCATCACATCCCGTTTAAAACCTAGACCAGTTCGCAATGTCCCTTCCCTAATAGCCGGAACATCGTGCATCGAGCCACAGTCTATACCATTATCACCGCGCGACGCGTCTGATTTTTTTTCTTTGGACGTTCTCCCATTCACCACTCACGTCGCGTACATTTTACGATCTCGATAAAAAATTTCCAGCAAAGACGAGGAGCTGTTTACACTTTTCGGGAGTATTACCTAATCATTCGCACCCCGTCCTATGGAAATTAATATTACACCTTGTTTACAAGCTCGGTCAAAGTAATTACAGTGTTAATGTTTGATTTTAGTGGTGTTGGTAATATTCTAAAGTGGTCCATAGAGTGTTTATGTGTTTTTAGTTTTTTTTGTGTAACACACAGCAGCTTTTATGAATTTGTTTTGTAACTTGAGAAGATTCCCGTAGGTACGTAGTCACGCACTTCGAATATAGTGTTTAAAATATACTCAACGAGGCTTATAATTTATTATTTTATGATTTAATTGCTCCCTTTTTAGCGACTATCACACGGTCGTTAGCGGGACGAAAATACGCTTCTCGTTAAAAATAATGTTACTGGAAATTTGTAGCCTGTTATTTGCGTTTTCGTTAGGCGCTAGCTAAACATTTATTTAAATAGAAAAATAATGTTTCCGAAAACTCCCGGCCAGGTGTTTAAATTTAAATTTTAAATTTGCGTCGAGCGCCGCTTCTCCACAGCTACAATTTTAATAACCTACATTGTACTCGGCAGAGGTAATAGGGAACGTATAAACTAAGACGTTTCGTCGGGAATCTTAAAATAATCGAAAAAATATAGCTTTTATTATTATATGTCACCGCAGACTAACAACAAGCTAAACGTGATGTCAAAAAGTAGGTAAATATATGTTTAAAAAGCACTAAACATTAAATTTAATGTCTCTAAGAAATATTTTATTAAATATATCGAGACGTGATTCTAGTAGTAAATTTCATATTTGAAAATTTCTAAACTACGTAATTTTTACATTATGCAAAAGTACAAAAGTATAGGCTTCTCGTCCATAACAATTTTTTGTTTATTATTGATGGTATCGTACACTTTCCCGAAATACCCTTTATAATAATACTATTAGGGGTATCGGTGATATCAATACTGTTTTCTTTGACTCTATTAACACTATTTTTCTCCAAGCATTCATTGAATTGGAAACATATGCAGGATGGTTCAAATTTTATCTGAAAAAATTCTTGTACCAATGATTTCTAGCCAATTTGTCGACCACTTCTCAACAACTGAAATTTATTGCCCAGTCGTCCAGTGCGGCTGTGTTGAACGCCGTTTGCCTGCGCGGTTTTGTTCGACCAGACATGTATATGGGTACGGCTAAATAAATATGGGCACAAGTTTTTCAAATATTTCAATGCCGAGTTGCTGCGTCAGCAAGCGAACCTGGTACATACTGCCGACCTCTTGGTTCTTCTATTGAGATCGGAAAGACTATACCATGTTCATGGATAAGTATTAAAGTACACATTATTTCATTAAATTCTACTAATAAATATTTTACATAAATAGTTGGTCTTAGTCAAAATGTGGTTGGTACATGCACTATATCCTCATTTATAGGAACTTGCCTGAGGATGGTCTAGTAGTCGAAACATTGGCAACCGTAAAAGACTATACCTACATCGAATCAAAAAACAAAATTAATTAAAAATCAAAACAATCAACATCTAGTAAGTAATAAAAAAAATATTATTTAATGTATTTTTAAGCCACATTATTTTTTTTTGTTTTTGCCGCTACTGTATTATAATTATGCTTACATTAAAACAAAAACACAAGATAATTAATAGCTAAAATTATTAATAACCAATGCAACACGTGTATTTATTATTTTTAAAGAAAGCAAACAGAAACAGCTAATGCTGGCGCCTTTATATTTTCCCATAGCTTGTAACATATCTATGTTTATTTCAACCAGAATTTTGGAAGTAGGTACATATTTTACAGAAAATAATATCTGCCAGAATATATGTTTACTATTTCTATCTTCTATTTCATTTTTTTTGTTTAAATAAATGTTTAACTGATTTATTTATTTTTTTGTAATAGTTAAAGTATACCAATTATTTCATTTAATATATCACCTTCAGTAAAAAAATCACGTTTTTCATCCAGCTTTCTAAATTTAAATATGCAACAAGTACACAGGTTTAAACATTCATTTGTTTATTTCAATGAGTCCAAAAGATATTGTCAGGAAAGGCCGAAAGTTTCTATTTCTATTTCATGAATTAAATACCTAACTTAAAAATGTTCAGACCTCTTGCATGTGCACTAAAATAAAATATGGCAAAATACTAATCAAATTTCGAGTTTGGTCGAAATATCTGCTGTGACAAAAAATATTGAAGAAAAACGATTTTTATATTTTTCATCTTTGTTCCCCTGTATGTTTGTTATTATTAACTTTTGCACTAAGATAAGTTAGGTTAGGCCTACTTTGATTCCAGGAATCTACCGCTAAAGTGTGATCCATACATTACAAAACACCAAGTATATTCCCGAAATCTGTTGTATAAGTTGTATATCGCCCTGTATACACCTTTATACGCACAGGATATTCATCAAACTGCGCGCCCGCCTTTGCAAATTTGAGTGCCGGCCGATTTGAGTCTGGAATGTGCGCCCCAGTATTTACCTAGACTCGGAAAAGGTTTAATTTACTTCAACTAAATTAAACACAACATATCCTGGACAAGAAACAGCCGCTCACCGAGAGACAGACTGTTGGTTTCTGTTTAACTTGATGCAGTTACCTGCTGAAAAATATCCCGAAATGGGCGGACGTCGGGAATAAACCAAGCATCAGCGTGAATTCATCGTCTTTCAACTCGGTACGAGTAATCGTTCCAATAATAAAGTGCCTGCGTAAGTAGCGTTAAATATCTTTGTCTTAAGTGTTAATTTAGATGTCGGTTTAGGGGAGAGTTGGTACAAAATTGGTGTATTATATACTGAACAAAACAAGTCAAAAATCGATAATTCCTCACGACATGGTGATCACACAGTTTACAAAAATACATCACACAGTTACTAAAACTCATCACACAGTTACTAAAACAGATCACACAGTTACTAAAACAGATCACACAGTTTCTAAATCACGTCACACAGATACTAAAACACGTGACACAGTTTACGTTTCGGAAAGCTCTATGTTTTCGTTTTCAAACTTTAGTTACAAAATTGACTTAAAAGTTAAACGTTGTTTACCATTCCGCAGGTTACGCTGTTTTCTCCGTTCTCTTTGAATGTTGAATTTAGCAAAAAGTCTGCGAACTTAAGTATCAACTCAAATATCTACGGTTTTTATCGACAATTTTAGTAATGTGTGATATTTAGTTTATCAGGAAGTGTAAATAGTTACTCATACAGCAAGTGTATAAAGTGCCACAAGTGTAAAGGAAATTTTGACACTGGTGTGTAAAATATTTTTGCGGTAATTCATTTTAAACTTTGGATTATATCGTTATATCACTTAGGTACTATTTTTGTTCGATTTCAAAGGGGGCACAGATAAAAATTACACACCAAATGAATTTAATAAGCTGTTTTGAATCGGCGATTTAAAAAAAAAAGTAAACAGAACCGACATAATGAAAGGTTCGTTTATTTAACTATACCGTACTGTTTACCGCTATGACTGCGTAAGTAATTGGATATTTAAAAAACCGATCATTAAAATAACTGATAGAGGGATAAATAGAAGAAAGTAATGTTCACTATCGTCTAAATTAATGGGTATATTTAGCCAAGTTCGATATGAGGTATCTCTGTAGTAGTCAGGTTTGAATTAATTTTGCTTCCTCAATTACCCTGCGTAAGGGAATATGATAGAACAGTATCATAAGGCGTAGGAGTCAGCTATTTGAATTATAAGTTCATGACAGTCAGTTTGTTGTCAAGGATTTAAGTCTATACAATTTTGTGAATTATTTGATGAAGTCTTTTTTATCTTAGGCTTTTATTATACGATTACATACATGTAAATGTTGCCATTGTTAACAAAAATATAGGTCATTATATGAATTTCATGTAGAAAAATATGCTAAAGGGAATAATGCAAGACAACCTCTTGCTTCTAACAGCATGCACAATAGGAAATATACCAAACGATAGCTTGTGTGAACAAAAGGGTGACATTAAATAACTGTAAGTTAGGACTAAAACAACGCTTATTCATTTTTTGGCTGCTTTTTTCGTACAGTGGCTAGCTTTTTATGTCAAACCTTCAGCCCGACTTCGATACGGTGTAACGCGAAAGGTGTGTGTAACTCCTGAAATAAAAATAGTCATTAATCCTGTAAAGCTCGGTCAACAATCTAATTTTAAATCGAGACATTGTACCGTCCGGAATTCCAAGAATCCCACCGGCCCAAAACGGCGCTTCTATGTATATATTTTAAATAAACATTTCCACATTTTATTGTGGCAATCGAAAGAAAACCGCATAACAGCGATATAACTACTTGAAAAGTGGAGGATATGTAAACATTTATATCCAGAAATATGTGGGATAAACCACTAAAAATAAGTATATAGGTTGTCCGGGGGACTGACTCAAACTTTTATCAAGTTGCAGGGTTTATTTTATTTTAAAAAGTATGCGAAAACAAAGCTGTCGGGTTTATCCAAGCCATACATTTGTCTGCATAATTGAAACGGTGATATTTTGTTTATTCTTAAGGCATTGGAAATATGTCTACCTGTCTGTTATTTTATAACTCTTCTAGTTGGTTTTCTATAGCTTTTAATTTTGCTAGCATATTGTGGGGCTGTCAAATAAAAATAAGAGAAATTAGTCAATATTTATTAATAATATTAGCAGCTGTTCTCCTCATTGATGACTAGAAGACGAATGATTGTCAAAATAGAGACAGACTGTTCTTAAATATAAAAACGATTTTCATTATACATATTTTTTTAATTCTGTTACCTAAAGAAATGTGCGATACATCAAAGATTTGAGACCAACGTCAGATGTTAAATTATAGTTTGAAGAAACATATAAATTACATCGTATGAGAAACTAGTGATTTATTATACGCATTTCCAAATCGTTTTGTGACCCGAGAACCTGAATTGTTTTATATAATCAGATCATTTATTAGATTATATCTTGAGTTGGACAATTTGGTTTGAAATTTTCAATATGTTAGATATCGCATCGAAAGAATTTGTTAAATCCTGAACCATCTATTCAGTTACAAGGTTGTAAAGGTACTTTTATTACAGGGTGTAAGAAATTTGACTGCCATTAAAAATACAGTGAGTATTATTACTCCCCATATTGGGGAGTTTCATCACAACGTGACAACAGCACTTAACCAAACGCTACACAGCTGATGCACACCACGTGTACACGTGGCAGACT